AATTCATGATCGACTTTTAAAAAAATAACCAATAATTTGTCAATCGTTGAATGGAAAGCGAAAAATCGTCAGCTAAAATAGCTTCTTGCTAACTTTCTGCTTTGTTTTGAATGTAAATACAATGAGCTTTGTTTCGGCCCGCAATTTTTTGGTCAGCGACGACAAATTTCCCACCTGTTTTGACTTGGACAGAAAATTGCACCAGTCTTCACCTCACCGGTACAGAAAGTTTGTCTCGCATTTACATATTAGTCTATGGCTTATTGTATGCTTTTATGTACTTCTTTTTCGTTGGAAATTATGAGTATCGTTCTGGGGTTCTGGGGCAGCATTTATTTTATTTATTTATTTTTAAAGTTTTCGCCCACACATACAATATATATATATATATATATATATATATATATATATATATATATATATATATATATATATATATATATATATATATATATATATATATATATATATATATACGCATCAAACAAACGGCGACGGCCATGTTGTATATACCGGTTGTAAACGAAACAATTAACCAACAAGAAATTTCAGTTTAAAATGCATTTACCGAACGACAATATAATTGACAGAAGGTGTTAAAGTATTTATGGCTTAAATTAAAGAATCTGCTTAGCTATATTTCGGTCCATCACAGTCAACACATTTCGTCTTTGTAGTAGTTTGTACTGCAGGTTCAAAACTGCCGTGAAATGCCGGAATAAAGCCGAGAAAACTATTAGCGTAGCATTATTTACCATCTACGAACGATTATATCGCGAAGACGATAATCCTTTCTAATCCCATGCAATCCCCCGTACGCCCATGACGCACTTGAGTCATGCACATATTTTAGATTTTACAATTTTGAAAAGGCAACCTTAATTGAGTTAGCTGTATATATATATATATATATATATATATATATATATATATATATATATATATATATATATATATATATATATATATATATATATATATACAACAGAATAACTGGCTACGATCCGAGAGAAACCAATACTAAAAATGTACTAAAGTAATAAAGTTTTAATTTTCGACTGAATGTCTCAGCCTTCCTCAGAAATAATATTACTAATAATTTCTAACGTATATATATACACCAATAATATGCAAATATTACAATAATGATAACTAATTAAGCTTAGTGATAGACAAAGAACTTCTTTGTCTATCACTAAGCTTAATTAGTTATCATTATTGTAATATTTGCATATTATTGGTGTATATATATACGTTAGAAATTATTAGTAATATTATTTCTGAGGAAGGCTGAGACATTCAGTCGAAAATTAAAACTTTATTACTTTAGTACATTTTTAGTATTGGTTTCTCTCGGATCGTAGCCAGCTATTCTGTTGTATATAAATGTCGAACTGGCTGATACGAATATTGTATTTTGTCATCTATATATATATATATATATATATATATATATATATATATATATATATATATATATATATATATATATATATAGTACAATCTGCAGACATGCATGTTTCGGCGTTCAACGCCTCGTCAGTGCAGCTTGGTACACGTCTAAATACGTGAGACAATCGTATTTATACCCCATGAAATTGCTCTCACCAAGGCATGTGGTACAACACGGTGAATCAACGCACCCAGACATGCGCAGAGCGTAATGGGGCCATAAGCGACTGTTTACATGAGAGTTTTCTCAATATAGATAGATAAAGATAAAATAAACCTGGTTTACTTCATAAGATTTATTCAATCTTATGAAGTAAACCAGCTTTATCTTATCTACATTAGCTCTATACTTCGGTATATCGAGCACTCTACTCAAGTATGATTTTAAAAAAAATAATAAACAACGTACATGAGAAAGTGTTGCAAAGTACAGAAAAGTAAACAAGAACAAGAACTTATTTGAGGATTATGTTTTAAGGCCAGTTTTAAAAAACTTAACTTTAAATGTCAATTGTGGTTATTACCTACGGTTTAGCCCATTAAGCGCCAGCGCTCTGACAAATAAAATCGTCTGGCGTTAGACAGAGTAAACTATAGTAAAATAATTAGAAAATACATATGCATGCAAAACCCTCACCTTGCTGACAAAACCATTGTATTTTCCGAACATGAAGTATCTAAAATAGTTGTCATGGTAACACGATAATTTTTAAGAATATTCTTTATACAAATGAAAAATCGCCTAAAAATATCACTTTTAATTACAAAATTATCAATTTCCCCAAATATATATGTTAGGTATGTTATTATACGTAATATAAGCTTCAATTTAAGGTAAAATTCATCCACAAACGCTTCGCAAAACGTTTTAAAGTGTTCTTTATAAAACTAAACTGCCTTTAATTAAATGGTTTTATCGATAAACTATGAGTTTGCAATAAAATGATTTCAAATTCTCGCTTGCAAATGACTTTGCTTTCTTTTTTATTTAAAATATTCAATGTAATAAAAAAGGGAATCAATATTATTAAAGATACGCTGAAATTATATGCTGTCTTGTAATAGTTGTTTCATATACGCAACGGGCCGTCGGGTTTTAAAGTCATTATAAAATCAATATTTAAAACAAACTTACCTTCGTTAACGTCGGCTCCCTTCTTTTAGCCGATTCTTTCGCCCTTTCTTTCTGAGAAACCATTTGAAATTTACAAAATCTTGAGCAAAAATGCGAGCAAAAACGAAATATATTTGCAAGAAATTTATCAATCATCAAATCAGAGAATTTTTATAGGAATTTTTCCTATTAAATTCTTATAGAAATTCTGGTAGAAAAATTTCCTATAGGAATTTTTCCCATAGGAATTCTTCCTATAGGAATTCCTATAGGAAAAATTATTATAAGAAAAATTCCTATAGGAAAAATTCCTATAGAAAAAAATCCTATAAGAATTTGGGACAAAATTCCTATAGGAATTTTTCCTATAGGAATTTTTTCCTATATAGTAAATATATTTATATCAATACGAAAGGTCTTCACAAATGTCATGTTTATATCAAGTCCGCATTACATACAGTGGAATATACAATCCAGACTGTTCACATGCGTTTGTTTAGCGGGCTTTCCATTTCATATTTCGTAAATTTTACCGAAAAAATCTCTGTATTTTCGCTGTATATTTTCGCAAATTTGCGATCAAATCGAGGATCAAATTCTATTCGCATTTTTTGTTGTTTTCAATAGCGCGGAGTAGCGATTCCCCGATTGGTTAATTGACGATTGTAATGAGAACTGCACATTTCATCAGTAATTTTAATCAAGTTAACCGTCGTTTCACTGTAGTAATTTTATAAAACAATTACCAAATGGTTTTCCCGTCCAGCATAGCATGATCCATGCACTTGGGATGTTGCTCGACTTTCGGAAAGCGTAAAATAAAAATTTTCACGCTTTCCGAAAGTCTCGCAACATCCCGCGTGCATGGATCACGCAATCCTGCACGGAAAACCATTCGGTATTCCTTTAATAATTTGTCATTGTTAAAAACTAAAAAGTTATTTATTAGCAACGCAGGCCTGTTGCCTGCTTGATTTTCACAGTACAAGTCAAGTTGTAATCAGTTTGCACGCCAATCTCGTATCCAGCCCCCCCCCGTGTTTGGACCCTGGCAAATTCTGATTCCGTGCCGTCACAAATCTTGAAGATTACGTAATTTGCAACTTTAGAATCCGGGGAGCGATGGCCACTGTCACTGTAATCTGTGCGAGCAAACATTGCGAAGGGCGAAGGCAAATAAATACATAATATGAAATAAAAGATATATAAACACAAAGATTCTTCTTACAATTTCGTTTCCGTGCTGGCACCGATAATTTTGCTAATCTTGTTTATGGAAGGGATTCGAAGAGGTAGGCCGAGTGAGATTGTCTGGCGTTAGAGTAAAATAATATAGTAATTAATATTAAAACTGATATTTGCTGTTTTGGTGTAGTGTATTCAGATGAATAAGATGCTTGTGATGTTACTCTGAGTGTGCATCCACACCGGGCAGGCTTGGAAACTATGCATGCATGGATACGGTGGGAATCGAACCCACGACCTTTGGAATATTATCCATATACTCGAACCGACCTGACCGCGTAGATCTATAGCGACGTCCCTGCGTGTTGCAGTCCGTTATGGGATAATTACGGTATTGGAATGAAAAACAGGCTGCAAAAATATCAAAATCGGGCTGCAAGGGTATACTGGGGCACACTATGAAGTTCTTTCGGCTGATTTACTTAGAAACGTAAGGTGGGAACCATTAGAAGTAAGACGCAACTACTTGAAAGCTATTTTCATATATAAAATAATTAATGGCCACACCTCACCTAATCTAATCTGAAGGAATCGTTTCGAGCAAACAACGAAATAACTAATTCTTACAATCTCCGAAATAGAGAAACTGACTTAGCACTTCCTATGCCAAAGAAAGAATTCGGCAAGAGGTGCTTTATTAATTAACTATAATGGGGCCTCACTGTCGAAAAATCTTTCCCAGGAGGCAAAAATTTCAGAATCGTTAAGCTCTTTCAAAACAATTTTGAATGAGAGAATTTGTTGAACCTGGCTAATCAAAATATTTTAACCTCTAAGCAGTACAACTGCAGTGCTATTATTCACCTGTTCCTAATGATGGTGTTTTATATCCTGTAAATAGTTGTAAATCACGCCCATAGATATTTTATATAAACTAGATAGTGCATCTAATTATTCTGCAATTCAAAAATTGAAGCGGCGATTGCAGACTCAGGATATTCCCTCTCTCCTCCGCAGAGGCTTTAATTGGCTATGAAGGCGTGAAGCCTCTGCACGATGCCACACCCAATATGGCGGTAAACCGGGGGGGAGGGGCGTATAATTATCAAAGTAATCAAACGCAAAATTCAAGTCAAAATGACTGAGAAAATATCTCTTTACAATACTGCAACAAGCTGACAAAGAGATTATTTACTAGATCTACGAAATAAGAAAGTGTTATGTTCAGTTTGCGAGAAAACATCTGCATTTTTTCTAGATAAGGTCTCCATCTACAGTATAAAACAATGCACGGAAACAAGGTATTGAGCGAACAGGTTTTGGTTGCAATAAGCGAAGAAACTTTTATTTAAATTTATAATTGACATTTGTATTTTTAGAAATGTGTCCAAAACCGCATAAAAGAAAAAAAATGAGTATGTAAGCATACAGAACCATTATTAAATTTATTATCAAGACTGAAAATACAATTCATGATCAACTATTTCAACTTCAGCAATATTTATAAACAAACGCGACCTTCAGTCGGTTTCGACCTGATTTATTTGGAGGTTCGTATCTTTGGTTCAATATACGCTATGTAGATGAAAATACCACCGTTCGATCCAGTACAAAAATATCTCCTAGTTTCTGTCGATAGTTTTAGTGAAATGTCAACACTATAGCGATTTATGACCTTTGAAAGTCAAGCGGGATTTTGTATATTAATATCAAATCACGCAATGTTTACACTTGATAAAAATATAAACTAGGCATACCTTTCGGCGAACATAACTTCGGCTCCTTGGGACGCATCGTCTTTGTATTACTCTTGTTCGAAAGCGACTTTACAAATACTTTACAATGCGAGTATATTTGTAAAATTATGTGCAAGAATTTCTGTTCAGAATTTCCCGTGCAGGATTGTATGATCCTGCACGGCTGTTGACGAATCAAATTGCGTGTTTCACTGTAGTTATTATATAATATTTCTTAATACTAGCTTGACAATTCAATTCGGTGGGAGAGATAGGCATGTCTATTCAATATATAATAGATTTGTATTTGAGACAGAGAATCTTACATGCAATATTAAAGGATACCGAATGGTTTTCCGTGCAGGATTTCCGCCCCGATTGCGTGATCTATGCACGCGGGATGTTGTGAGCTTTCGGAAAGCGTAAAAATACACGAGCCGTAGGCGAGTGTATTTTTACGCTTTCCGAAAGTCGAGCAACATCCCAAGTGCAAGGATCATGCTATCCTGCACGGGAAAACCATTTGGTAATTGTTTTATAAAATTACTACAGTGAAACGACGCTTAACGTGATTAAAATTACTGATGAAATGTGCAGTTCTCACAACATTCGTGAATTAACCAATCAGTGAATCGCTACTCCACGCTATTGAAAACAACAATATATGTGAACAGAATTTGATCGCAAATTCGCGAAAATATACAGCGAAAATACAGTGACTTTTTCGATAAAATATACGAAATTTGAAATGGAAAACCCGCTAAACAGAGAGCCAAAGTAGTTTTCAAAGATTCTCGACCTGAATATGTGAAGATTGCGAAGCGTTTGATCAACTTTGAAGCGAGAGATGTTGTACTTACATGCCATGGTCTGATGAATTTCAACGCTACGCGTTGCTACTTGCTTGAACAGGAATGTATCGATCAGAAATTTTTTCATACAACTAAACCAACGTCTCAATAATTGGAATCTTACTTCAAAGTCGAAAGGTATCGTACAATGAAACTTTACAATGCGAGTATATTTGTAAAATTATGTGCAAGAATTTCTGTTCAGAATTTCCCGTGCAGGATTGTATGATCCTGCACGGCTGTTGACGAATCAAATTGCGTGTTTCACTGCAGTTATTATATAATATTTCTTAATACTAGCTTGACAATTCAATTCGGTGGGAGAGATAGGCATGTCTATTCAATATATAATAGATTTGTATTTGAGATAGAGAAGCTTACATGCAATATTAAGTTTTTCCACTCTAATAAATTTTTCGGAGGGCTTCCCTTGCCCCACTTTCATCCCTGTTTCACAACTCCATCACGTAAGGGTTGGAAAGCTGTGATCGTCTCCCAGAAAAATCTTATATTTCTGACGCTCAATGACTACATTTCGGGCTTTTTGTGGAGCATCCACAAGGGAATCAACAAACATGCATGTTTTAAAGTTATACTTTCGTTAACATTCTAAATGTAATGACCTAGTTATATATCAACAAAAATTGCCCTGCAGTAATTAGCAATCTTCCATATTTGCAGATTTGCAAATCATTCCGTGGCGCTAATAGTACGGCATTACATTTCCAATTTTACAGAGCACCTTGCTAAATCCAACTAATTTCAGCAATCAGACAAAACCGTTCTGATAGAAGTCTTTTGTAACTTAAAATTTTCCACTGTGGTCTACTAATGCATACGAAGGGAAAGCTAAAAATATAAAGATGTGACTTTGTGCAATAGCATTGTGTGGGAATATTTACACATCAGTTATATCTCCCATGTAAAATATTATATTCTCAACAAAAGTATTCCTGTAAATAAAGGGAGTTGAAGCGCAACTATACTGCCACAAATTATCACATCTTGTTCCAAAGGATAGAAAAATTCGTATTTAGTGGAAACAATGCACCGGAATATTCTGTTACGACAACTACTGTACATTAGACAGGATGTCGTTTTACCATCTTTCTCTCCGGCAAGACTGTTCCGCTTCAAAGTCACGATATATAATTATAAAGCTGAAACGAAGAATGAAATATAATTAACCCCTGCAGCTGTTCTTGAAATAGAAACGTCGCGAATGAACAGGAAGATGAACGACTAGGCAACTGTGAAATCAGCTATGACAATAATTACTATGAAAATGTTAGCGTACAAAACTTTTTTCATGTTTTCTGGACGGTTACCTAATCAAAATAGAAAAAAATGCAATTCCCATCAACGTTCTGCCAAAAAACTGTCCTGAAAAAGGCCTTTCGTCGAAACGTCGTGACGTACATATATCGTTGGGTTTTTTTGTTGAATGGCTTATAAATCCTATATATATCATTAAACGATTTTTGTTACTTTAGGGTGTTTAAGAGGGATCTGCGTTAATATACTGTATACTGATGATTGTACACTACATTTATTGCTCTTTAAATCCAGTACAAAAATTAGTATACATGCAGTAGCTAGTAACGTTTGATCACCTCACTTTCATTCAGTTGAACTATGGTTAAAAATATGGCAAACATTTAGAAACTGGAACGATGCTGCTAAACCAGTTGTCCAAAAATCAAAGATAGCAACGGCATTCATTTCAGTTCCGCAATTAACCTAACTGTAATACACTGTTTCATTTTGCATCATATATTGGAATGCATTATACTTAATTAAAAGCCACGTATTTCTATTTTACCATGAAAACCACACCATCATTTCAGCGAATGCAACATGTTTCAGAAATATCTATATGTCGTTGGCACATATATATTAAAAAGCTAGTAAAAAATTGTTTGTCGAAGATCGATCTAATTATAAATGTTAACCCTATCAAATTACATCTGATAAAAGATCACGTCGCTATTCTTGATATCGTCTTCCTGTGTTGTGTAATTAAGGTGGGTAATTGGACAACAAGCTTTCGTTATAGCTAAAAAAATGGTTAAATATATTCTGAGCTGAAACTGAAGTTGGCAAGTATTGTTCACTAGTTATTTGTAGCTTATAGTTATTCATCCTTCAACCAATTATTTTATCTTCGATAGAGGATAAAAGAGAGGATTCAGAACGCAATGCTTCAGAATCTCACTGGTTCAAAAGAGCGTGTTGCATGGTTTCGGCAAACTACGAAAATACAGAGGTCAGTACTTTGCGACTATAATATGGTGGTATTGAATTACCTGAAAGCTTTTGATTTTTATATTTTGGAAACTATAGCGTTGAACTTCACGATGTTTACGTAGAATAATATTGTGATCATCTTCTCGCATGTTCAGCAAACAATCGGTGTATATAGGCGAAATTTAAATTATTGTTAACAATGACAAACAATCAATCGGGAAACTCGAGTATATCAGGATATGTCCAACTGATGTTGCTCTTAATACTTCCTATATGCCATGACTTCGACGAAAACTTCTAAAAGATTAAGCTCTCATTGTCATGTAGAAAACTATAGCCAATTAAGTTTAGGCGTTTCGAAGTTTGGGCGAATTTGAAAATTCACCACGACGCAATTTTACATTTAATACACGTTTCTCGGGTTTGTGTTGTGTTTACAGTTTACATTCGGAAGTGGTTGCTAAAACAGCAAATTAGTTTACTTTGAAGCTAATATTTCGCTTTCTAAGCCACAGTATTATATAAAATTTTCTACTGTCTTCCGAGTTCTGTTGTCAGCGAAATATATTCGGTATTTGATGCTATCTGCATGGCCTAGATTCATACAGTATATTAAATAATATGCCAATCCTGTCCGCGTTTTAAATATAACCGAACATCTTTAATATCCAAATCTGTTCATTAATGGTGCATTTTATAACCTGGACAAATATCAGTATCTTTAAATTCAATTATGTGCAATTTTGACTAAAATTCAACCCATGACTAATTTATGACGTTTTTGCTTTATAGTATTTGAACCTGAATTTATATTGAACGAAAATATATTACGTTGAATGCAGGAGCATTCATGGTAATATTCGCTCAATATAAATTCATGCGAAAGTCAGGAAGAAATATTTAGTTGTGGATGTTTTGTTGAGTTGTTCCTATGTTTTATATCCTATATGAGTTGGTGAATTACCGTAAACAATCATTGTTGGGAGCTGTAAATGAATTTTGATTAGAAAACTAAAACGTGTTTCTTGTTCCGTAGATATAAAATATTTGACATGAATTTAACCTGGGCTTCTTTGCTATTGTTCTTCACATTGGCAGCGGCTGCAAATCAGGTACATGCATAGATGATGGAATTGAAATTAACTGAATTAGTCTTTCTCACGGTGCCATTTTTGGGTGCCATTTTTGGGTGCCATTTTAAGTCTCCAAGATAAGTCCACATAACAGCGACTTTTTATAATTTTTTTGGACGAATGATGTTAAATTTGCTTTGTAAATGGTTAGTTAATTTTGAAAAATTGCTTTTCACATTGTTTTTAATTGTCTGTATTGGTTAACGAGAATTAGATGGCACCCAAAAATGGCAGATATTCGTCATCGTGAGAAAGGTCAATTGATTCAAATAATTAAATCCATTTTGCAATTCAAAACCGAATTCCATTAAATACTGAAACATCTTTTATTACGATTTTACAACTCGGCAATGGCTTTATGAGCTTTACTTAATTTAAATATGATAAATTATAATGAGTACCTAGTAACTAAGTAAAAAAGATCACACGAGTGCTTCGGGATGAGTAGAACATTTTTTAGAGATAAATATACGATGAAAGCTCAACACGATAATTCTTCCAGACATTAAATTCCGTTGAACTAAATATCCATGCAGATTCTTTTCCCTTTAAGCCAAAGCGTTCTCCCGTTTGTGCTGGATCAAATGGTATACCAGGAATACCTGGCGTTCCTGGGTCGGCTGGCAAAGATGGAGTGACTGGTGCAAAAGGAGAAATGGGTTCTCCAGGCACCGTTGGGCCCAAGGGAGCCCCTGGAGAAAAAGGAACGGCAGGATCGGACAGTGGATTGTATTCTAACTGGAAGCAATGTGCGTGGGATCGGGTAGATAACAAAGATAACGGATTGATACAGGTTTGTAATAATGCGAAGTGAACTATATAGATGAAGTAAATTAAAGCAAGGGCTCTCGTCCGTTCAGTGTTGTGAGAACACAACTATAAAATATTTGGAATGGATGAGTCAGAGCTTATAAATACAAATTTTCCTTTCTTCACCTGTTTCGTTCAACATTTGATAGCAGAATTATTCCCTTCGAAAACATTTAGTTGATTTTTTCCTTCAAGGAATGTCTGTTCAACAAGTACAACAGTAATTCTTCACTGAAAGTCTTCTATGGAGGTAATTTACGTATATTCAACTGTAACGCTTGTTGCAAACGTTGGTATTTCACATTCAATGGAGCCGAGTGCAAGAAACCATTAGCTATTGATGGTGTTTTTTACCTGTCAAAGGGGGCAGGACAACATGGAAATCTTCATCGCCACCGTCACATTGAGGGTTACTGCAATAAAATCCCGAAAGGTATTGTCCGCGTTGGCTTCTGGGTGGGAAATTGTAAGGGTTTTGGAAATGCTGATGCCGACTCTGGTTGGAACTCGATATCTCGTATTGTGATTGAAGAAGTTCCACCACCGCAAACTTGACTGATGAACTCGATGTTAGAAAATGATATGCAATGAATTTACTATCCCGATGTGATTTGAAAGTTTTCAGAATAGTAGGCTTCAATAGTTTTAATTTAGTAGTTGTTGAATGATATAAAATAATAATTAGTATAGTCGCTGAATGATATTATAAAATAATAATTGTCACTCATTTATGATTACGTGTTTATATAGTGCATTTATGTATGGAATATAATATACATTCATAAAATATACATATAATATACATTATATATATATATATATATAATGTATATGCGCAAAGCATGATGGGAGCACTGATTTCAAGCTTGGTAGTTGATTATTGCGGCTGTTTGTCAGTGAAATGTTTTTGCAGGAAGATATTTACCATGTCTCCAAGAAATGGGCTCCGTATATGCGTTCTAAACTGCTTAAATCGTGCTCCCATTATGCTTTGCGCGCTTAGAGTTTAAGGTTTAAGGTTTTAGAGTTTAAGGTTTCTAGGGACAATCTTTATTGAATTAGCTGTATATATATATATACATATATATATACATATATATATATATATATATATATATATATATATATATATATATATATATATATATATATATATATATATATATATATATATATATATATATATAGTTTTTCGTTTTACCTCAAAAAACCACAACATTTGTTTCATGCAATAAAATCCCGAAAGGTATTGTCCGTGTTGGCTTCTGGGTGGGAAATTGTAAGGGTTTTGGAAATGCTGATGCCGACTCTGGTTGGAACTCGATATCTCGTATTGTGATTGAAGAAGTTCCACCACCGCAAACTTGACTGATGAACTCGATGTTAGAAAATGATATGCAATGAATTTACTATCCCGATGTGATTTGAAAGTTTTCAGAATAGTAGGCTTCAATAGTTTTAATTTAGTAGTTGTTGAATGATATAAAATAATAATTAGTATAGTCGCTGAATGATATTATAAAATAATAATTGTCACTCATTTATGATTACGTGTTTATATAGTGCATTTATGTATGGAATATAATATACATTCATATAATATACATATAATATACATTATATATATATATATATATATATATATATATATATATATATATATATAATGTATATGCGCAAAGCATGATGGGAGGACTGATTTCAAGCTTGGTAGTTGATTATTGCGGCTGTTTGTCAGTGAAATGTTTTTGCAGGAAGATATTTACCATGTCTCCAAGAAATGGGCTCCGTATATGCGTTCTAAACTGCTTAAATCGTGCTCCCATTATGCTTTGCGCGCTTAGAGTTTAAGGTTTAAGGTTTTAGAGTTTAAGGTTTCTAGGGACAATCTTTATTAAATTAGATATATATATATATATACATATATATATACATATATATATATATATATATATATATATATATATATATATATATATATATATATATATATATATATATATATATATATATATATATATATATATATATATATATGTATATATATATATAGTTTTTCGTTTTACCTCAAAAAACCACAACATTTGTTTCATGCAATAAAATCCCGAAAGGTATTGTCCTTGTTGGCTTCTGGGTGGGAAATTGTAAGGGTTTTGGAAATGCTGATGCCGACTCTGGTTGGAACTCGATATCTCGTATTGTGATTGAAGAAGTTCCACCACCGCAAACTTGACTGATGAACTCGATGTTAGAAAATGATATGCAATGAATATACTATCCCGATGTGATTTGAAAGTTTTCAGAATAGTAGGCTTCAATAGTTTTTATTTAGTAGTTGTTGAATGATATAAAATAATAATTAGTATAATCGCTGAATGATATTAATTAAATAATAATTGTCACTCATTTATGATTACGTGTTTATATAGTGCTTCTATACGGATGAAACAGACTGTTGTGGTTTTTTGAGGTAAAACGAAATTAAAACTATATTACGCTCTATTTATATGGTAATATATATATATTTATATATATATATATATATAGATTTATATATATATATATATATATATATATATATATATATATATATATATATATATATATATATATATATATATATTTAATAGAGTTGAAGATTTGTAATCCAGGCATTTTATTAATTGAATAATTCTACAAATTATTTAGTTCTCTGGATTCTAATTTAAATGTTTTGAGCTTTCGACTCGGTACTTCGAGCCTTCATCAGAAAGTTGGAATGTTTGAATTTTCGCGCTGTTCTCGTTCTTGAAGCCTTTGGGAACGTCTGATTGGTTGATCACGCATTTCGGCTGATGGATTGTTATTGGTTGCCATGGAGTGCGGGTGAATGCAATCATCGTGAGTTGATATTGAGAAGGAAGTTGCGGGTGGGTTAAAGTTAATGAAGGCGAAACAGGACTTTTGTGTGTGTGTTTTAGTTGTAAGTATACGTATGTTACAGGAATGTCAATATGGCGGTTAAATGTTAGTTTATGTATACTATGCCACGCTTCTTTAAACTCACGGGCATGTTTTGTAGTAGCTTGTCCGAGGCATCTCGTTTGAGACCACTCAAATTTGTGTCCGTTATCGTCTGCGTGCATGGCTGGGAGTGAATTATGGTCGTATCTGTTAATGGCGTTGAATGATCAACTAATCAGACGTTCCCAAAGGCTTCAAGAACGAGAACAGCGCGAAAATTCAAACATTCCAACTTTCTGATGAAG